CACCTCTGTCCCAGAAATAAAGTTTTTAAAGGTGTAATAATTATACATAATATACATATATAATAAATGGAGGCCTTCCAACAAGTCAGTTTTTGCCAATCTCATCCCTCTCTCACTATTAAGTAAATTGTTTGCCATGTGGATTAGCAATAGAATTTAAGACTTGTATGCCGCTTCACAGTGTTTTATATCCCTTTCTAATGGGTTTACAGAGTCAGCCTATTGCCCCCAATCATCTGGCTCCTCATTTTACTGACCTTGGAAGGATGGAAGGCTGAGTCAACCTTGAGCCATTCAGAATCAAACTCCTGGCAGTTGGCAGAGTCAGCCTGCCACATTGCATTCTAACCACTGGGCCACCACGGATTAGTTCATATCTCTGTGCTATATATTTGTAATGACACTGGATGGCATCAGAAGCAAACAGAACGGCTACCAGGGCAAGGAACAGAACAGGTAAAGATAGATAAAAGAAAGGATGAAATGAGACTTGACAGATTTTCTTCAAAACTGTAATCATATTTGATTTAATTTCTTAAAGGTTGAGGTGGAAACCTCTCGAAGTACATACAGTCCTGTCAGTGTACTGTAAATGACCCTCCAATTTTCTGACATGAAATTGTAGAGTTATGAGACAGGACTGGCTTTTCAGAATATCAGTGGTAGCTGAGTCTCGGGATTACAGTGAAATACATTACTTTTCCTAAATTGGTATCCTCCAACTATGTTGGCACTATTGCTGCAGTATTCCTATTGCTCATACTGGCTAAGAAGTCTGACAGTCGAAATTTAAAATACCATTAAAACTGGTTGAGGAAGACACTCATCATAAGGACATCTCTGATGTATGTGTGCAGGTAGACCTCAACTTACGACCACAGTTCAGCCCAAAATTTATGTTGCTAAGTGAGAAATTTGTTAAGTGAATTTTGTCCCATTTTCTGACCTTTTTTTTTGCCACCTTTGCTAAGTGAATCACTTGCAGTTGTTACATTGTTAAGTGAATCTGCCTTCCTCATCGACTTTGCTTGTCAGAAGGTCGCAAAAGGTGATCACATGACTCCAGGACAAGGCAACCATCATAAATATGAGTCAGTTGGCAAGCATCCAAATGCAGATCACATGACCACGGGGATGCTGCAACAGTCATAAGTATGAAAAATGGTCATATAAGTCACTTTTTTCAGTGCCATTGTCATTTCAAACAGTCACTAAGTGAACTGTTGTAAGTTGAGGACTACCTGTACTCACACCCACACACCCATGCATACACCCACCCACCCACACATACATACCCACACTCATACACAATTATATATATAGACAGTATATTACATACCATTGCTACAAACATTCCTAAAAGTCTCTTCAACCCGTCCCATTATTTCATCCTCAGTAGCACTGAGATTTTGTTTCAGAAAATAGGTTGTCATTTTCCCTTTGCCTTTCACCTCTATGGCTCCCCTTTCCACTGTCTCAAACACTTGAGGAGGAAGTGCTCTGTGCAGTGCAAGAAACAACAACATGTAGAGTTAATGACTTATTGCTAATTGGCCATACCTGGCTAGCACCGCACAAAGTTATCCATGAATAAACCATATTTTGGCTTAGCACAATATGCAAAGCAGATTATGAGATTTAATTCCGGCACAATCAAGATCCCGTCTGATGGATTTGGTATTTCATTGCAAGCCCTTACTTACTTGAATGTTGTGGAGCTGATATGGATTTTGTCTGGCAATCCATGGCTTTCCATCCTGGAAGCTGTATTGACGGTATCACCAAATAAACAGTATCTGGGCATTTTCTCCCCAACTACACCAGCTAGCACTGGTCCAGTGTGTATCCCAATTCTAATCTGTTGAGAGAAACACAATATGGAAACCACAAGGTGGAAGAGGTTCTTATAGAGATATATTCCCTTAGTGGGTTCTGGAAGAAACCCAAATTATACTTTTAACAATTTTTTTGGTGTTTCTTATCATTTATCATGAGGAACATTCCAGAGATCCATTTATACAAATAATCTTTCCCTTGTAATTGTTCCACCTGGGCCCTCATTTGGAGCTGGGATTGATTTTGTGTTTTAAGTTTTGTTATATATTGTTTATAATTTGGGGCTTGATTAATATCTTCTTACCTTTTTTATGTATCTTAGCCACCTTAGAAGGAGTTTATCATTAAAAATACCACAGGAACATTTCAAATAAATATTTTAAATATTTTTGAGGAAATGAAAAGCTTGACTTGCTTATATTTAGTGATTTCAGTTGGTGTAACAGACATTGGCTTGGCAGTTATTTATTTATTTATTGGGCGTAGTTTCTGTTCAAATTTAGAAAAAATAAAAATAAAATCCTCACTCAGCAGGATCCCAATTTTAAAAAAATATCTATAGGAGGGAAGGGGAACTGAGGAATAAAAAAAAAAAATCCAGAGACTTATTCCTTATATGATATACATCAACATTTAGCAGATAGCCATGTAAAGGGAGACCATTTGGGGAAAGGAAGAACACAACAATTGGTCACCGCTAATCATATTGTTTTAATATTCTCTCTCTCTCTCTCTCTCTCTCTCTCTCTCCCTCTCTCTCTCCCTCCCTCCCTCCCTCCCTCCCTCCTTCTCTCTCTCTCTCTCTCTCTCTCTCCTACAAGTGAGATGGCTTGATCTCTTTCTTATGTTTAAGTCTTTAAACTATGACTTACCTGTATAGGTCTAGTGGTAATAGGATTCATAACTTCTCTTGCAGCAATTCTCATGCCAAGGGCAAAATTAGCCACCCTTTCACCATGATTGGCAACTGGGACTGGGACTCCTCCTACAACCATGTAGGCATCACCAATGGTTTCTACCTGTAAAGCAAGATGCATAGTAATGTACGCATGGAAACCACTTGTCTAGGCTTGCGTGCTGGTACTCTCCAGATGTTTGGTCTGCAATTCTTACATTCCACTGCTAATTGGAGTTAAGGGGAACTAAACTTCCAAAAATTCTGTAAATGAACATAACAAGCATATCTCCTTATTTATTTAATTTATTTGCTGTCTATCTCACCGTGGGACTAATCTTGGCCCCTTACTCCTAGTTCTTTCATTTTTCTTGGGGAATCACTTACTACAATGCTTTCTTTAAAAAAAAAATCTTTTATTTATTAATAATTTTTAATGAAAAAAAGGACAAATGAACAAGTGAAAAAAGCAAACATGGGGAAAATTGATGCAAAAATATAATATTCAGTAAGCGGATTACTTAGATTGTACAGTTAGTGCTCAATATATTGTTGATGAGAAATTAACTATAAAAGCTCAAGTACATTAAAATATGACAAAGGATTTGAGTTTCTGAACCCAGTGCCAAAATGCTGACTAATGCAGCTACAAAGGTGTATCTCATTTACCGCTAAGCAAACAGTGGTAAAGACATTGGATTGCCCTGGCTAATTAATAAAAATACATTATATACTGTCATTATCTATGTCTTTCCCAATCTGTTACTCTCCAGACACATGCAATTGCAGTAACATTAATAGCAATAGCAATTGCACTTATATACCGCTTCTCAGTGTTTTACAGTCCTCTCTAAGCGGTTTACAGTGTCAGCATATTGCCCTCCAAAATCTGGGTCCTCGTTTTATCAACCTCCGAAGGATGGAAGGCTGAGTCAAGCTTGAGCCAGGCAGGATCAAGCTTCAGGCTGTGGGGCAGAGTTTGCCTGCTATTCTGCATTCTAACTGCACTGAGCCACCACGGCTCTTTTAATAGCCAATTTAAAAACTCTTGCAAACATTTGTTAAAATCAACATGTTCAATTCAAACTAAAAAAAATCTCGTTAAACAGTTGGTATGGCCAATTGCTGGAAATTCTGGGAGTTCCAGTCCAAATGTATTTGCGAGGTACCAGGCTGTGGGGATGGCTGTGAGAGCAGATTGATCTCTTTTCAGGAAGGGAAAAAGGGAGGGAAAGGTTGCAAGCCAGAAAATTGCTAAATTATACTAAGCAATATCTAGTCTAGAAGTTGGTATAGGAAGCTCGTGGTTTTCAGGATTCATTCTCCCTTCTTGCTGCCAATCTAAAATTATCCATCCATTCATCATATGCCCTTGGGCTACAAAAGACAGCAGCAAATGCTATAAATGTCAGCCATACTTACTTTATAAACTCCGTGGATGTTAGTCAGACGATCAAACTTGGAATACATTAGATTAAGCATGTTCACAATCTGAATAGGTTCACAGACAGAACAGATGTTTGTGAAAGTCACTACATCACTAAAAAGTATTGTGCAGCAGCTAAAATCTCCTGGGGAACAAATGAAAAGGAAAAAAAAATAGAACAGTCAGTTTTCAGAAGCAATGGTTTCTCTGTTTTTGGTTTTTAATATGGCAAGGATAAAATACTCAAGCCAAAAGTCCAACAATGCTTAATGGAAAATGACCTTTAACTATTGTTGCCACTTGTCTGAATCCTACTAAAAGCTGGAAAACAAATTGCAGCATATGTGACCTCTCACTTGATTAATATATAAGGTGTGTATATTGATGGATGGGCTCCAGTGGATTAGATGTTAGGCTTGATTGAAATAAATTGATGAACAAAGAAACAAATTCCTGTGTCATTTCAAAACACACATGAGGCTGAAAGCCTTTCCACTATACCTTCTAAAATCTAGTTTACAACGAAGTTTAGAAACGCTCACAATTGGCCTAAAAATGTAAGTAATAGTATGCAAATCCCTAGGCAACAGAATTATTTTGAAAAAGTATGTCCACCCTTTTGAAGCAGTAAGGTGCATGTCAAATTATCATGTTTCCTAAAATTATGAGACTGCACATAGTTGAGTTTTGTACTTACCTGAAAAGTAAACATTATGGAAAATATCTGTGTCCTAAATACAGTATATGTCCTGCTTTCTTTTGGTTCCCTGGAAACCAGACCTCTATGCAAAGCAAGTCCATACACACAGAATCTTAGCTTAGAAGGGAGTGTTTCCAAATATTCGATTGAATTCCTCCCCCTTCCTGTTTTACGACATGCCATTTTCTATTTGATAATCAAACATAATAAAATTGCCATACCTGCATCAACCTTTTCGCCTTCCTTCAGCAGATTAGCCACGTGTTTTGGTAACATGGCATAGAGTAAAGTTTCTGATTTCTTCTTTTCTATCTCTAGGTTCTTAGAGAGAATCCTGAGCTCTTCCTTTTTTCTCTCAAGTTGGTTTGATAGCTCTATCTCTGCCAGCCGCTGCTGGTTGAAGAGAATGAGGTCTCTTGTTGGGTCATGTTGGGCGATGTCAGAAAGGTGCATCCCTTGTTCTTTTAACTCATCCAAACTGCGGAGCTTTGGTGAGCACAAGTAGATCATGCTACGGTTGCAATCCATCCAGATCATTTGTCCTTTTTCCAATAAATACATTATACAATGCTTTCCATTAGGCTTAATTGATGAATTAGCTGAATATTATCTAGATAACTGTCAGTAAACTGAATGTGAAGATTATAGATTCTGTGGCAGAGGTGGTATTCAGCAGGTTCTGACCAGTTCTGGAGAACCGGTAGCTGAAATGTTGAGTAGTTCAGAGAACCAGCAAATACCACCTCTGACTGGAGATTTTTACAGTATCCTTTCCTAGCCACGCCCACCAAGCCACGCCCACAGAACCGGTAGAAAAAAAATTGAATCCCACCACTGTTCTGTGGGTCTAATGCAATGGTGGCTAACCTTTTTGGGCTCCTGTGCTGATAATTGCGCGCGCACCCAGAAGGCAATGTGCACCCAGAAGGCAATGTACATAGGTCCCCCCACCCTCCTGCGCATGCATGCATGACCCCCCACATGCAACACATATCTCTGTGCATGCGCAAGCAACCCCATGCATGCTGCGCATCTCTGCGCATGCATGTGTGTCTCCCACCTCCCGTGCATGTGTGCCAGATACCCAACAATCAGCTGGTGGGTGCGCGGCGCGCACGCATGTGCAGTAAACCTGCTTTGGGCGAGGCTTGCGTGCCGGCAGTAATGGCTCTGCCTGTCACTTCCGGCAAGCGTGCCATAGGTTCACCATCACAGGTCTAATGTCTAAATTTCATAGGTTTTGCAAATGCTTCAATACCTTCTTTTATTTTGGGTTTAGAATTTAGGATCTAGAATCTTTCATTCCTGTGCAAGGTTTTGAAAGAATTAAAGGCAACAGATTGATCAAGATCACTCAGTACAATAACATAAAGATGGGCAGCTTCTTACAAGTTATTGTAATTTTCAGGTCTTTCCCTGTTTGATATCTCCAAAATTGCCCTACAATTGTGCTATCAGAATTTAGTGGTAAACATCTGAATTAGGATAGCATTATTCACTCCCAATTTAGGTAGAAAAATGAAAGGAACTCGGCTGACTTTTTTTGCAAGTTCTATTACAGGGATTGTTAAGAACTTTATATGTAAAAGAAAAAGTAGAGACAAGATCAAGAATAAGAAGGTGCTAAATGAATGTGGATTGGATACAGAAATGAATGATCAACATGAAGGAATTAATTTACTTTAATGAAAAGAAGGACTTGGGGAGACAGGATTGCAGCATTCCAATATCTCAGGGGCTGCCACAAAGAAGAGGGAGTCAAGCTATTCTTCAAAGCACCTCAGGGCAGGATAAGAAGCAACAGTTGTAAATTAATCAAGGGCAGAAGCAACCTAGAACTAAGGAGGAATTTCCTGACAGTTAGAACAATTAATCAGTGAAACAAATTGCCTCCAAAAGTTGCGAATGCTCCAACACTGGAAGTTTTTAAAAAGATGTTGGATAACCATTTGTCTGAAGTGGTGTAGGGTTTCCTGCCTAAGCAGCGGGTTGGACTAGAAGACCTCCAAGGTCCCTTCCAACTCTGTTATTCTATTCTATTCTAATTTTGCTGCGCATAAAGGCAGGACATGGAGGGAGATTTCAGATTTTGTATGTGTGACAGACAAGAGAGATGGAGGAAACTTGCATGTTCCAGTTACTGATCCTATTCATAAATGATTCCTAACATTGTTTTTATTTTACTCTGTTTGGTCTGTAGTGATAAAGTTCAGTCCCTCTCTTATTCCCATCACACTCGGCAACTCATCTCTTGTGGGGCAGATGGCAGAATCGTTGTCTGGAATTTCTATAAAATATTTTATTAATGGTTTAATTGATTTATTGTTTTAATTGATTAGTGTGATTAGAGTGTTTAGTGCAAATAGTGTGATTACTGACTAGTTTAAAAGATCAAGATTCATGTAATTTAATTGAATAGTAAAATCAATGATTTAGTGAATTTAAATGAACAGTGTAATTAATGATTAGTGTAATTAATTGATTAGTGATTAGAGTAATTAATTGATTAGGCTGATTGTTGCTCAGGAATATTATCTGACTAGAGAGATTACTGCAATTGATTGTTTGATGTGATATTGGCTATATAGATTACCCAAAATTGTTCCTTTAATTAATTCAATCAACGTACTATCTTAACAAACCTACCATGCCAAAAAGAAAATCCAACGCCAAACCACAACCTAAAGAGAAGATAATCCCCACCAATGAACCACAAGACTCCTGCACATGCCTTAAATGCTACAAAAATCTAAAGGATAATGAAAACTCCATCAAATGTTCTCTATGTAAAAAATACGCTCATCATGACTGCTTGGGATTACCTGAGCAAATGATTCAATACCTAGAATCATCCAATGAGTTTCCATATCTCTGCAAATCATGCAGACCCAAACTGGATCTGTCTAAAAGAGTTGATACCATTGAAACCATTGAAACATCCCTTAACACCATAGTAGCATCCCTGGACGCCGTAAAAGAAAGAATATCCAACCTTGAAAAAAAAGACACAACGCAAAAACCTGAACATCCAATAGCTACAAACCACATCTCTACCCAACAACCACAACCCAATCCAAAACCCAATCCACAAATAAACACAACCCAGACAAATATTGATATCCCAATCCTCATCAGAGAAGCCGTTGAGCGTGAACGGAAACGTCCAAACGCCATCTTATTTGGTCTAGAGGACATCAATGACAATGATGACATCACAACTGTCCGAAACATCATCAGTGATTATCAAGCATCAACCATCTCCGCTGATGAAATACTTGACATTTCCCGCATTGGCCGAGAGCTCAAAAACAGAGACGGCTCTGTGGCCCCACGCTTGTGCAGGGTCATTTGCAAAAATGAATCAAGCAAACGTAAATTCATTTACACTATAAATTCACTCGCCAAAACCAACACCAACCATAAGAACCTCCGTTGTCGCCCTGACCTAACCATACAGCAACGTGCCCGCTCCCGTGTACTCCGCACTGAACTCAAAAAACGTCTAGACAATGGAGAGAAGGACCTGTACATTGACTACCATGCTGACTGTATCAAAAGTAAGCCACACAACCCGCAACTCAGCTTTAACCCTCAACCACAACCCTACCTCAACCGATCCACCATCACCCAAGACTAGGCATGCACGCCCCTAACTACCTCAATTCCAACTACTACTGGCCTTAAATGCAAACTACTCAATGCAAGAAGCCTCGTGAATAAAATATCTGAATTTTTCCTCCTACTAAATATGGCTAAATTCGACATTATATTTGTCTGTGAAACATGGCTCAATGCATCTCTCCCTGACTCCATTACCACAGTAAGGGACTATCATGTTTACCGATCAGATCATGAAATTCGTAGAGGAGGTGGTGTTGCTATCTTCTATAAAAAGTCCTTACATCTAAAAAATATCCAAGTTACCCAGGAGCTTGCTCTTCCTGAGACCATCATCTGTGAACTATCCTTAAATATCACAATTCGATTCTTACTATGTTACAGAGCACCTGATTATGACATCGAACATGTAAACAAGCTAAATACATTACTAACATGGGCTGCATCCTGCCCATACCCTTTTATCTTTCTTGGTGATTTCAATCTACCTCATATTGACTGGACCCTAAATGAATGTACAACTGAAATCATACACACAACCTTCTACAATGCTATTACAAATCTGGGACTGGAACAACTAGTAACCAACAACACTAGACTAAACAACTGCCTCGATCTCATCTTCTGCAATAGTTTGAATTTAATTTACGGAATACAAACTAAAGAACCCTTTTCCAGCAGTGACCACAATATGATTGACTTTTGTCTCAACATACGCCCACACAAAAATCACCACAATGATGTAATCCCCAATTGTAACTTCAAAAAAGGCAACTATGATCTTATAGACAACGATCTCTCATCCCTTGATTGGCAATCTCTATTCACTGGATGCAATACTGTTGAAGACCATTACAACATATTTTTACTTGAAGTCAAAAGAGTCATCAAACTATATGTACCAACAACAACTCCCAAAACAAAACAAAAAAGCAGATTACCCATAACAATAAGGAAACTTCAATCCAAAAAGAGATCACTCTGGCGGAAAAACAAATCTGGTCACGTTGCCAATTTCAAAAGCCGATACAAAAATTTATGCCACCAGATAAAGACCGAATGCATCAATTATCACATTAAACAAGAGGAAAACCTTCTAAGCACCAATTCCACCCGTGCTTTTTACAATTTTGTAAACAACAAACTAAAAGACTCAAGGTCTATCCCACCCTTGATAGGACCTGATGGTAAAGACTGCAACGATGACACCACTAAAGCCAACATCTTTAACACATTCTTCAGCTCAGTATTTGTAAACAGCAATGGATCATGCCCAGTATTTCCTAGCCGTACAACAGATAACAACAATGATCTAATACATATCGATTTTACAGAAGACAATGTTGAAAAAGCACTACGCAATCTAAAACCATCTCTATCTATTGGACCTGATGGAATATGTGCCTACTTCTTAAAAAAGCTATCCACTGCCATAGCCAAACCTCTAAGCATAATCTTTGAAAAATCTTTCAGGACCAGCTCCTTGCCTAACCTATGGTCACAAGCCACAGTCATCCCCATCTTCAAAAAGGGAGACCCAAGCCTAGTTGAAAATTACAGACCAATCTCCTTATGCTGCGTCACCTGTAAAGTCATGGAATCAATTATTAACCAATCCATCATTCTCCACTTAGAGACAAACAACCTACTCTCCAATAAACAATTTGGTTTCAGAAAAAAACTATCCTGTAATCTGCAACTCTTACACTGCAAAAACATATGGACGACACAACTCGACCAGGGCAAAGCAATAGACGCAATCTACATAGACTTCTGTAAAGCCTTTGATTCAGTGGTACATGACAAACTACTCCTAAAAATAAAATCCTATGGTATCTCTGGACAACTGAATAACTGGATAGAAGCATTCCTGGCAAACAGACAACAAATGGTCAAAATTGGGAGCATCCTATCAAATTCTGTACCTGTCAATAGTGGTGTCCCCCAAGGCAGTGTTCTAGGACCAACTCTCTTCATACTCTACATAAATGACCTTTGTGATCATATTAAGAGCAATTGCGTTCTTTTCGCTGATGATGTAAAGCTGTTCAATACCACAGACAATACTGCTACCCTACAAAAAGATCTTGACTATGCATCAGAATGGTCAAACAAATGGCAACTTCAAATCTCAACAAATAAATGCTCTGTCTTACATATTGGCAAAAAAAATCAGAAAATAAAATACAAGCTGAATAGTCAAGATCTTGTTGATGACCCAAGCTCTGTAAAGGACCTTGGAATACTCACCTCTAATGATCTAAGTGCTAGAGCACACTGCAACTACATAGCCAAAAAGGCATTAAGAGTTGTTAACCTAATCCTACGTAGCTTTTTCTCTGGTAATATCACACTACTAACCAGAGCATACAAAACATTTGCTAGACCAATACTCGAATACAGTTCATCAGTCTGGAACCCACATTACGTATCTGATATTAGCACAATTGAGAAAGTCCAGAAATATTTCACAAGAAGAGTTCTTCACTCCTCTACTCGTTGTAGAATACCTTATGCCACCAGACTTGAAATTCTAAAACTAGAAAACCTTGAATTACGCCGTCTTCGGTCTGATTTAAGCATGGTATATAAAATCATACATTGCAATGTCCTACCTGTCAATGAATACTTCAGCTTCAACCATAACAACACAAGAGCACACAATAGATACAAACTCAAAGTTAACCGCACCAAACTTGATTGCAGGAAATACGACTTCAGCAATAGAGTGGTCAATGTCTGGAATACTCTACCCGACTCTGTAGTTTCTTCCCCAAACCCCAAAAACTTTAACCTTAGACTGTCTACTATTGACCTCACCCCTTTCCTAAGAGGTCTGTAGGGGGCGTGCATAAGCGCACCAACGTGCCTACCGTCCCTGTCCTATTGTTTCTCTTATTCTTCTTTTATTTTTCTTATATGTACCCATTTCATGTATTCACAACTATGTATACACTTATACTTATTATCTTGTAAACAATTGGCAAATCAAATAAATAAATAAAAATAAATAAATATGGATGTTGAGAGGCAAGAGGTATCCAGTCAGTTCTTCCTCTTTCTCTGATCAGGGAAGTTATCACTTACATAATCTTCAAAAGATGCATCAAAAAGCCATTTAAGCCAAAGGTGACTGCCTGAAAACTCAATATAATAACATTGTGTTTTCCTGTTGGGGGCTGCTTCACTACTGTCACCTCAGCCTGGTACCCTTCAGATGTTGTGAATGCTCCAACACTGGAAGTTTCTAAGAAGAGATTGGGCAACGATTTGTCAGAAATGGTATAGGGTTTCCTGTCTGAGTGGGGGTTGGACTAGAAGACCTCCAAGGTCCCTTCCAACTCTGTTTATTCTGTTAAGTACAGTAAGGTGGTTTTTTATCATATAAAATAATTGAATCAAACTGTAAAATAAATTATTTTATTTAGGGAAGGGTGGATGGATCAAGAGTAAAGGAAAATCTGAGAAAGGTCATGACATTGAGATGTCTCAAGAACAAAAGACTACTATGTTGGGTATGGACGTGGTGGAAGCCAGCTTGCTTTGTAAACAGAGAGAGATATGAGGATTACAATGAATGTGAGTAATATAGATTTTCTTTGCTAATCCAATGGCGTTCACTTCTCTATTATTTCTTACTACTTTTGTGCATTCAGCATAACATTGCTTGTCCCAAAAGGAAATATCATAATAGGTAGGTAGGCCTTTGCTATTTCATTGAAAGATTAAATTAATCCTTTACTGTGCTACCTGACTATTAGAAAATGGACTGTGGTAATTTTATTCCTCCTTCTATTGTTCTTAAATGTTTAATATTTTTAAATTTCAGAAATTCACAGAAGTTTTGTACCTCTGAGTTTCAGCGCAGGCCGTTTCTTCAATGAATTGGGCATAATTTCTCTCCTTATCTTGAGAACAAACTGGCTGTTGATAAACTTTTTCATGCTGGAAATAGCGAACATGACTTGTGGATGAATAATAGAAAAATACTCATCTAATCTGGTTCCACTGATTTGCAACCCAGGTATACATTTCTGAATGTTTACACCAGCCTGTTTGATATTCAGCTGAGGAGAGAACCGAAAGGTAATTTCAATAACTAAAAATGACTTTTTAAACCCTCTTCAGAAACAACAGGTAACAAAACATTACTTCAAAATTAAAGTGGAGCCACCTGAAATATGTTTTTCATATCACAGTAAAACTGGGTTTAAGACTGGACTCCGGGGGTGGGGGGGCAGAAACCACACAGCACTCATTAACTAACAATTCCAGCCTCCTTTTTAATGGTTGTAGGCATCTTCTATAATGCTGGATTAGCATACCACTTAAAATAACTATATGAGTTCTCACTTTTCTGATAAAAGGAAATGGTAAATAAAGCGATACATAAAGCCTTTGACTCTTACGATATCTTATCTATTTTAAAAGAAAACTTGCTCCCAAACAATGCCTCTAGTAACATCCCCATATCACTGTCTCACCCTGCAGACCATGATAGTATTTTTTTCCAAATCTAATCCTCACCTGCACGACTGCCCTGCCTTGGCTTTATTTTTATTTTTTACTAATTTTAATGATTTATGTACTCCTGTTGCAGAAAGTGTTTGTCCAATAGAAATGATTCAGCATGCCCACAACAGCCCCACCTCTAGCTAAATGGTTAAGTCCAAAGAATCCATCCCAAGGTTTCCTTACTGTTTCATCGAACACGAGGTGGAAAGGAAATGCATGGCAGAAGGTTCTCTCATCCATCCAAAGCCTCTCAGGGAACAACGGTTCAAAGGTACGTAAAAGGTTTCCTGTAGAAACGAAACAGATTTTTTTTCCTGGCTTCTCCCACCTGATCCCTCAGCCAGCATGACTATCAGAAGACATCAGTTTGGGAAGGTCTGGAGGACAATTTCTGGATTAATTTCCACTTTACACTCGCTTATCTTTCTCTTCGGTATTCAAGTGAAATATCATTTTGCCGAAGAACTGCAGTGAGATCGGTGTGGTACAAGACCTCTATTTTACAAAATGGAGCACCAGTGGTGCTCCCTTTGGCGTGGAAGGTTAGTTCTTTGAATTAGTATTTTTCTCAACCATTCAATCAGAAATTCCTTAATTATCACTCCATATTTGATAATTTTCCCTAGAAGAAGACTGGCATCAGTAATTCCTATGGTTCCTAACCTCCCCTTACTTGGATCACTATTATTTTAGTTTCAATGGAGGAAGACAAAAGCAAGAAAACATGAACTGGAGATAGACCTTGAAACAGCTGAGTTTTCTACAAAAATACACTGTATGGCTTTGGACATCTTCAGAAATAGGATAACAATGTTGTTTTTTAAATAGTGCTATTCTCGAGAATTCAGATTCCCAAATATCTAAAATCATACGATCAGGGCGTAGTCCTTTGTATGACATAAAAACTCAACCTTTACTACCGTCTATTTTTATGGAGACATTTGCTGTTACATAGAGCAAATCAAGGAGTTATGTACAGTACAATAAAAACGGAGGATGTGTTCTACAGAAAAGAATGCCTACTGCTCTTGCCCTGTTAATCAGCCACATGATCTCATTTGGTCTCTTTCTATAACGCTCCATATAGTCAACAAGCTCAAGGACTTTTGCTTGCATTCTTGAGATCCAGATATCATCCATCACCTATTTACTAACTTACCTGCCTTAGAATTGACTGCCTGTCTCAAAACATCACAAGAGACTTCCTGTTCAGCCGTTTTTCCTCTTCCTTTTTGAAAAACCGCATCTTGTTCCTGAAAAAAAAACCAGTACATTAAGTCATCTCTAAAAGAGGCTTTGTATGACATGTGAGCACAACTCATAATTTAAAAATAGCAATAGCACTAGCACTTATACTTATTTACTGTTTCAGAGTGTTTTACAGCCCTTGCTAAGAGGTTTACAAAGTCAACTTATTGCCCTCAACAATCTGGGTCCTCATTTTACCAACCTCGGAAGGATGGAAGGCTGAGTCAACCTTGAGCCTGGTGGAATTCAAACTGCCAAATTGCAGTCAGCTGGCAGTCAGCAGATGTAGCCCGCAGTACCGCATTCTAATCACTGCGTCACCACAGCTCTTGATACTCCTATTTCCTTCACTCTGTATCAACTCCTCTGCTCTTTCTACAGAAACATCACCTCTTTGCCCTCCTTTTTTTTTTTTTTTACAAAATTTCATTGAATAAACATTAAAAACATTGAACACAGTATTACTTTCCTGGCAGTTATTTTGCCATACATACTACAACATGAAACAACATACAACGGTTGATCTCCTATTTATCTTATACTGTTAAGTTGGTGCTATTAACATATTGACATATTCATTTCCATTTATATTCATACTTACAGCATAATTTCCTTTCACATTCTTTTTCTATAACTATTTTATCCACTATATTTTGTTATCTTTAATCTAAATGTCTTCCACCTTTAATCCTATATAGTATCGGACATTTTGTTCTGACCACTTTTTCTCGATTCCAACCACTTGTACATTTTGTTCCAGGCTTCATAGTATTCTGTCTCATCCTTGTCTTTAATCTCTAATGTTAGTCTGTCCATCTCTGCACAGATATTTTTTTATTATTATTTCACTTTCGGTGGGGATATTTCCAATCTTCCAAATTGGGGCATAAACTAATCTTGCAGTAGTTATGACATGTATCATTAAATATATCATTGCTTTACTATATTTTTCTTCTACAATTCCCCATAGGAACACTTCTGGTCTAAACTTTATTTTTTGGCCAAGCATCTCTTCCAACCATACCTTTATCTGCCACCAAAATTCTTGTGCTTTTGTACATGACCACCACATGTGATAGTATGTCCCTAGCATTGTGTTACATTTCCAGCATTGCGGTGACACATTTTTACTCATTTTTGCCAATCTTATTGGGGGAAAGGTGCTGCCTATAGAACATACCTCTTTGCCCTCCTGAGACCCATCTTCACATGTAGAAATTGCTTCCTTCTTCACTATTTCATTTGTCTGTAAAATAAAAAACACCACATGCTCCTTCTTCCCAGTGCGCTCCTCTTCTACATTTTGTTCAAGGATTTCCAGGGACACTTCACAGTCAAAGAAATCTCTGGCTACAGCTTCAATAATCCCTATGTAAGAAAAAAGAAACCACCTATTATATGGCAATATGTAGATCCCTTCCAAAGTGGCTCAGCTCTTAAGGAACTTAATGAAAAGCAAGTTTCTTATCCCCTTCTTTCAATAACAGCCACACATAGCTTTTAAAAACTTTTCAAGTTTAGAGTGATTTTCTCCCCCATCACTGTTCTTCCAAAGCTCTTCTTCATTGCTCAGGAAAGTTATTCAAACCTCTTAACAAACTTTGCAGTGAAGTGCAAAACAGAAGAAAGAAATGGGAAACGTATTTTCTTTATATTAATCTTTCTAGGGATATGGGAAGAATTTCTAGCTGGGTAAGATAGAAGTCCACTAAACTGGAAACCCAGCTTATAATAATAGTTTTAATTATAACACATATTTTAAAAAACTAACTAACTAACTAAACATCCTGGAGCTTTTTTCTTAGACCCAGCACCAAGGTTGCTGATCAGATAACTGGCAGATGTGACTTAATCTGATTTCAGTTTTGCTCTGTAAATATCTGTACATCCCAGTCTGCATCTGAACATTTTCTTTGGTGCTTGCATTTGATCCCCCCTCTCAATAATTGTAAATAAGAAGCTAACAAACTATAAAGTATAATAGAGACCTCAGCCTTATCGAAAGACCTTATTGGAAAATAAAAAATAGTAGATGACTTGACTCAAGTGCTTTGTTAGGAATCATGTCTTCCTGTTTAATAAAAAGAAAGGATAAAGAAAAAAGAAATGAAGTAGAAGCTGGCTGAAATTCTCTCTACTTCTCCCATATGTGTTCATTGGTCTAAAGGTTTGGAGATATTTCATAAGGAGAGTTCTCCACTCCTCTACTCATTGCAGAATACTTTATGCCACCAGACTTGAAATTCTAGACCTAGAAAACCTAGAACTACTCTGCCTTCGGTCCAATCTAAGTATAGTATATAAAATCATACATTGCAATGTCCTACCTGTCAATGAATACTTCAGCTTCAACCATAACAACACAAGAGCACACAATAGATACAAACTCAAGGTTAACCGCACCAAACTTGATTGCAGGAAATACGACTTCAGCAACAGAGTGGTCAATGTCTGGAATACTCTACCCGACTCTGTAGTTTCTTCCCCAAACCCCAAAAACTTTAACCTTAGACTGTCTACTATTGACCTCACCCCTTTCCTAAGAGGTCTGTAGGGGGCGTGCATAAGCGCACCATTGTGCCTACCGTCCCTGTCCTATTGTTTCTTTTTATTTCTCTTATATGTATCCATTTCCTGTATTAATAATTATGTTTATACTTATACCTGTTATCTTATAATTGCTTGACAAATAAATAAACAAACAAACAAATAAATAAATAATTAGATTCCTGGCTCAGACTATTGTTTAATAATTATCTTTCTTTCTCCGATCTGGTGTCATCCAGATGTGTTAGATTACAACTTCCATCCCAATCTGTTCTGATCTTTGATGATGGCCTTTGTGGTCCAACAGATTTCAAGACCTCCCCCTTCTTAACTATCTCAGCAGCTTCCTTCTATGCAAGTCAAGGTCACCTCGAGCTTTGTAAAGTGCTCCTTTCTCTGTTCTAAGCAACAATTGGGCAGACACTTTGCCTTTGTTACTTCATTTTAATTGTATACCCTAAGACAAACAGATGCATCTTAAAAAGTATTGATTGGAATGAATGATAATATTTGCACCAAATTATATTCTAAAATGTTTTTAAAATCGATGGCACAAATTGAGGCCTTTTATACAAGACTTGGAATAGAGGGGAGGGGTGGAACAGTTATGTCAAAGCCACAGAGGTCATTGAGCTAAGCAAAGAAATCTCATTCAACCCACCCACCCTGGCACAAGTAGTCAATTCCAATGCTTGGTATACTTACGGAAAAGTTCCCACTCAATTCGAGTGTTATATAAGATATATTCCATTGTGAAACGGGTGACCTCGTACCTGGAACGATGTGACACAAGCCTTTCCTGTCTGAATAATAGTGGAGGAGCACTCTCTCATCTTTCCTTTCCACTCGAAATGATGGTGCATTCATTTCCTAGGCAGGACAAAACAGCCAAGAGTCTATTCTAATACCCACCAGCATTATAAATGCAATTTTTTTTTATCTTTGTTGCACAATTGGCCTTCCATTCAATATACAATCAAAAAGCCAACCTAGAGCAATAGGTAAGGAATGCAAATGGAAGAATTTGCATTTCTTCCTTATTGTGTTGGTTAATAAGAGTTTGCCAATTTGTATTCTGAGATTTGTTCATAGTATTGGAAACATTGGAGAAGGTCTCATGTTTCAATAACAGAATTAAACTCTTGATTCATAACACCTTGAACCTGTTCAGGTTATATGCAATTTTATTCCAATTTTCCTTTCACAATGAGCTGTATGCAAGAACTCTCTCCGTCTGTTCATTCTCTCATCCTTTTTCTTAAACACACCCACTGCTGAAGCATATTAGTGATGTAAAAACATATTTGTCATAGTCAAGAATGGCCATGGCATATATTGAAAGGTAATTTAAAATAGTTCAAAGGCAGGAAAAAAACATTTTTCATGTAAATGAACTTTCTATCCCTTGGCAACAATTGCATCATTTCAGTATAAACGCAAGACAATTCCATACATTATAATTATAATGAAAAGCAATAGCTCAGCCTTCTTCTGATTATAACTCGCCAAATTCCTGGAAAACATGCCTGCCTGCTAAGAATTCTAAGTGTTTTGGTCATCTATTACATTTCACCTCCTACAGGTAACTCTAAGAAAGCAAGGCTCTCACAGATTCACACTAAGTCTATTGCAATAAGAAAGAGGGCAGGTTACAAAATTTTGGAAAACAGAAATGTGTATCTTATCAGTGAGTTTATTATAACAGGACCAACCTATCACCTTTGAGCTTCTACCTAGTTTTGGTTTAATGGGGAAGATGCTAGTCACTTGTTTGATATCACAAAACTGTCTATCTCGACTTGTTCTGCAACAGTTTGAAATGAATCTATTGTCATATCAAAATACAAAAATATGTATATTCTCTCTCTCTCTCTGTTTTTCTCTCTCTGTGTGTGTGTGTCTCTGTCTCTCTCTCTCTCACACACACACAAACACACACAAACATTAAGCTGTTTCAGTTGTGTCTCCCCAGAAGAAAATGTACCTGGTAAGACAAAGCAAGATAGCTATGTAAGGAGTCAAGATTCTCAATAAATTCCATCAAATTTCCTCCTAGTGTCCGTAGCATTTTATCATATCCTGATGTTTTGCAGAAATTAAAAAAGTATTGCCCAAAAAGCTTCAACACTGCTTCCTCTGGCATTTCTGCATGGAAAAAAAAAGCTGATTTGGGAATAATGGCATATATACCTGGGCACAGCAGAAAGTATGTGCCTTTTCTCATGAACATGCTTTGCCTTGTCTTTCCATGATATCTTCCTTCATGCTGCCACAATTGCAAGACTTCATTCAGTTTCTCCATCCATGAAATTTATCTGCAACATAGGTGCATGACTAGCTTAAGAAATGGTTTACATTTACAATTTGAACTTCAAATTGAAATTCAGTTTGATCAAATCATCTTTGAATTTAATAGTTGCATTGAAACTTTACATAGCCTAGCAGGCACCTCTATTAAGACAATTGAGCCTGTCAGTTGGGCACAAAACAAAAAGAATAATCCAGAAACGTATCATATGTTAATCAACATGACAAACAAATGTTGCAAGCAGTAAACCACGGACTACCCATAATTTCAAATTGTAATATAGTATTTGAAAACAAATCATAATTTATCCACTAGCCCTTTTCTCATTTGTTACTAATATGAAAAGGAAGGAACCACATTACAGTTTAGTGTGATATGAGAGCAGCACAAACTGTAATCTAAGCTTCTTAAATGAATTTGTTTAACAGCATTGAACTCAATCAATTAATTTATTAAGTTATTCAAAATGAATAACTGAAACAGAAGAGAAAATATTTTAAAATGTAGCTACAATACAGATTGAAAAAGGATATTTTAAAAAATGAAAATAATTACTAAAATCTGTAAAAAAAGGAAGTAATATCTTTGTTATGGTCAATGACCAGAACAATATGCAATTATATAAGGCAATTAGAGCAAAATGAATTAAACTGTAGAAATAAAATAAGGCATTATGTGAAATCTAAAAGACACAAAACTAATTTGCTATGTTGCTAGAGCTGTTAGACAAATGATTACAAATGTGCTAATGTAGAAAATAAAGCAGGGTTAAAATACTTTAATTCTATTTCAATCATTATTACAGTTTTGAAGAGATAATTGTAAGGAGATGTGCAAGAGTAGATAAGTATAAATTTATTCAGGATGACTGACTAGAGTATTGCTTAACATTATACAGCCTTAAAAAGATGACAGTTTGAGAATTCTTCCTATCACATCCGTAAGTGGGAATAATACTACCTCTAGGCAAACAGCAAAGTAAAACATGTAATTATCTCAGTACTTAGCATGTTGCAGGCTTCTTTGAGCAACTTCACAGTCAGAGAATCATCATACACTGTATATGTCATAAAGGTGTCTTCAGTTCCAACCTGAGTTCTGTGACAATACCAAAGAAAAGTTCTAATAGGAAATGAAATACGGAACACAATTTGCCACCTGGTTTGCCATATTTGGGTAAAGCAACACATTTTACACACATTTAGAGTGCAAGATTCAACTGGCTCAAACTAGTTTACAGATAGTTTTCAACTTACAATGGTTCACTTATTGATCCTTACAACGGCGCTGAAAAAAGCGACTTATGACCATTTTTCACACTTACAACCTTTGCAGCATCACCCTGGTCATGTGATCAGAATTTGGATGCTTGGCAACTGGTTCATCCTTATGACTGTTGCTGTGTCCCAGGGTCATGTGATCAGCTTTTGCAACCTTCTGACAAGCAAAGTCAATGGGGAAGCCAGATTCAATTAACAACCATGTTACTAACTTAACAACTGCAGTGATTCACTTAACAACTGTGGCAAGAGAGGTCATAAAATGGGGCAAACTCATTTAGCCAATGTCTCACTTAACAACCAACATTTTGGGTTCAATTGTGGTTGTAAGTCCAAAAGCATTGCTATGCCCTGCTAGGTTTTTGGAATCTAGTGAGGGGATCACAAAGTCAGCTGAAACATTCAAAGAAACTTGTAGCGATAAATAATAAATGGGTTGTGGCAGAAATGTTCATCGTGTCAGGTTAAGAAGGTTATTGGAGAGCATGATGGATGACTCTTGGAGATGGATGTGTCCCATTGGAGAAGTCACATCCAGTGGGTGGGGAGAAGACCAGGGTCAAGGGGGAAATGTATGATGTAATTTAGTATGGGCTAGCTGTCAGGGCTCCAACAAATCCACCCTCATTCAAATCAAAAGTCTCTAGCTGCATCTCAGAGAAAAGAAAATTGATTTATTAAAAAAGGCCATGTTGGCATTTAGCTGGGTGCAGCCAACACTAAATCACACCATACATTTCCCCCTCGACCTTGGTCTTCCCCCCACCCCCTGGATGTGACTTCTCCAATGGGACACATCCATCTCCAAGAGTCATCCATCATGCTCTCCAATACCCTTCTTACGCTCCGACAACTTTGGGCTGTCGGGGTGATTATCTAGGCATTTAAGGAATGCCTTGTTTTCCCCCACTCCCTTTTTCTGGCAGCTAAAAAAGACCAAAGGAGTATCTTCTTAGCTGACACATGGCTTATACCCCGCTCTTAACCTGAAGCACAGACTCTTATAGCCTGAATACCCCCAACCCATCCTCCGGAATACAGATATCTCCTTGGTTCCATGGTCTTGCTTTATCAGTGATAATGCTGTGAAGGTATAAATATTTACCTGAGCTTTTCCCATGTTTCTTCACCAAATTTCTCTACTAGGAGGGACTTCAGGCAGGAGTTGATAAATCCATACTGGGGGGGGAGGGGAGAACAGAGGGGGAGGGAGAGGGAAGGAGGGAGGGAGATAGAGACAGACAGAGACAGAGACAGAGAGAAGGAGGGAAGAGAAATTCTTGTGAATGTCCTGTGTAAATATAACATTCCATATGCATACTTTCCAGTAAACTTTGCTGAGTATTAGTATTATGTGATAAAGAGCTGCCCCTTCCCCCTGCCATTGCTTAATTGTACAAATTATCTTGCTATCTTTGCAGCCATGTGCCATTACATAAAGATAAGACTTGGAAAGAAGACTTACCATGGCACCTTTACAGTATGTCACACGAGGCAGGACTGGTCTTCTTTCTTGGTGCAGGTGACTTACTCTCTTTCTAAAAGCTTGGAGACCCAGCGTTTAAATACCAGGTGACTGTAGATAAGGAGGGCCCATAGGGAAGGCTGTGTTGACTTCTACCTGTTAAATTTCAGTAGAGACTCTGAATGGCCATGGTTGGGGAAACTGAACTAATTGAATTCCCTGGAGTATTGAAGCATATTTTGAAATCAAAATATGTTTACCTTGTTTAGTTTTCCTCTTCTTATTCACAATAATTCAGCACAGAAATCACCGAACATTTCATAATAACAGAGTGGAATTGTGCAAGACCTGCTAATGGATAAAGGGTTGTGTTTGTTCTTGTAAAATCAATATGCACATTTTAACCTTTTTCAGAGTCAACTTAAGCTTTCCTTTCTGTTCATTCACCCTCACGGTCTCCCTTTCGGGCTCCCTATAGTTCAGTCCCAGAGAGTCTGCTGCAGCAGAGAGCAACATAGTTCTTCACACTGAAGCCAACTGGACTGGTATTTTGGTGGTGTGGCATTCTTCATCATATCTGGGGACGCAGCACAATCATAGTTCTGACCTCTGGGTAGATCATGATCAGAGGATCATGATCTGCCAACCCTAATTTTCCCCTCTGTTAATCTTTTCCCTTTGTCATTTCCTACCTTTCCTTGCATGTTGTCTTTCAGAAAATCTTGAGCGGAAAGAACAATTTTATTTAGTGCCTTTTTTCCATATCGAAACAATGGATGGAAACTAATCAAGGAGTGTGAATCAACCTGGAATTAAGGAGAAACTTCCTAACAGTGAGAACAATTGCCTGAATAGTGGAACAGCTTGCCTTCAGAAGTTGTGGCTGCTTTATCACTGGAGGTTCTATATCAGTGGTGGCTAACCTTTTTGGGCTCTTGTGCCAAAAATTGTAAGCATGCCAGTGCGCCCGCACTTGTGTGCCAGCACCCAGAATGCAATGCACACCCCCACGCCCCCTGCGCATGCATGCGCAATTCCCCTCCCCCCATCCCCTTACCTGCACTGCACCTCACAGCTGATGTTTTGGCTGGTTTGTGGCCTTTTTCGGCCTCCAAGAAGCTTGGAAAAAGCCTCTGCAGGGCCTTTCAGGCCAAATTATAGGCCCATTTCATCACTTCCGGTATTACAGGAAGTGACGAAACGGGCCTATAATTCGGCCTGAAAGGCCTTACAGAGGCTTTTTCCAAGCCTCTGGAAGGCCGAAAAAGGCCTCAAACCAACTGGAAAAAAAATGAGCTGTGAGGCATGGGCATGCGCAGTGAGGTAAGTTTGCCTGCGGCTCACGTGCCAGCACAAATGCCTCTGCGTGCCACTTGTGGCACGCATACCATAGGTTCACCTTTATTTTTCTATATTATTATTTGGAAGAGACTTGGACAGCCACTTGTCTGAAATGGTGTAGGGCAGTGATGCCAAACCTATTTGTCGTTGCGTGCCAAATGTGCATGCGTCTGCACCCATAATGCAATGCATGCACGACACCTCCCGCCCCCAGTGCATGTGCATGTGACACCCCCACATGCATCTCCCGTGCATGCCCTACCCCTTGGACATGTGTGGCAGATACCCAACAATCAGTTGGCTGGCGGGAGGCATGCACGCATGCACAGTGGATCTGTTCAGGGCAATGGCTCACATGCTGGCCCGAAATGGCTCTGCGTGCCACTTCTGGCACACGCGCCATAGGTTCGCCATCACGGATATAGGGTCTCCTGGTTGAACAGAGGGCTGGACTAGAAGACCTCCAAGCTCCCTTCCGACTCTATTCTATTCTAGAGATCTCAGCAAATTCTAGGGCGCAGCTTTATAGCTTCCATCAGATTTCCTATCTCTTCAGGTATTCACTGCCCTAGGTTTTGAGAGAAGTGAAAGAATTGAAGTTATGGTCCTCCTTTACTACCTGCCAAGCTACAACAACCCCCCACCACAATAAGCTGGTATGCTATGCAAAGCAAAACATCAGTCTCCAGTGTAATCATCATTTCCAATAGATAGTCTTGACCCTATATCTGGACCCTACATGGAACAGATCAGCTGGATAGGTTGCAGGCTGGTGTTTCAGAATGATACCCACCAGTTTAGAGAAAGAAAAAAGTTAAGGAGATGCAGCAGGGGACATCTTGCAGGAATGGGGAGCAAGTCAGAGAGGTGATAGGGAGCATTTTGCTATCTTGACGCCGATACTGATTCTGTCTGCCTTTGGAGAGATTATGTGGATGAAAAATCCTCATTTTGTAAGAACAATCTCAATAGGTTTGGAAATTTCCAAAACTGTTCAACATCTTGGCATCTTGAACTTGATGGCACAAAACAAATGATTGCGGGGCTCATGGGTGTTAATTTGCAGGATCCAGAATTTGAAGGTGAGAAAATAATGAATGGAGATCCTTTGTCCATCCTTTGTTTTGTATGCTATACTTAATTGTTTATTTCTAGTTTGTTTTCTTTCAAGAAGGTGAAAGGTATGGCACTGTAAATTTCTCTTGGGTCATTTTTTTCCTTGAAATCAAATTATCAATTATCTTTTGGGAAATCTATATACGGCTTTGTTCCTACAGCAAATGGGACATCTGGGTATAGCTTCTATAAAACACCAGGGAACAATGCTGATCTTAATATTAATAGTGTTGCTGGTGGGTGGGTGGGTATGTGGGTGTGAGTGAGTGAGTGATTGTATCATTCGGCAATTGCAGTTTTCCTGAACTGATCATTTGTAAGAGCACGAAATTTAAGCTTAGTACAAGTTTTACAAAATAAAAAAACAAACTAACAAACCAACTACAATTCTACTTGGCTACAACCATAATCTACTTAGATTAGGAACTTCTAACTACTGGGCACTCACATTATCAATTAGTTTTTAAATCTACTTCCATTTTAAAAAGAGCAGCAGGTAGGCAAGGAAAAAAAATGGTAGAGCTCTTTGATTGGATACTGGCCTGTTTAATGTTTTTTTAATATCTTAATGTAGTGGGGACATTAAGACTGGATTCCCAGGAGCAAATGAAGTTCCCATAGGACACAGGAATATGGCCCCCGAAATACAGCATATTGGTGGGAAGTTTTTTGGCTGCAATACATTTAAGCTCTTTTAATAGTTAAAGAAAATGCTACAATAAAGTGCCGGTGCCATTTTAATAATAGGAGGGGAGAAAGAATACAAAAGAAGAGTAGCGAACTAAAGGTTCAGAGTGGCAGGAGGCATTGAGAACAAAGGTAGAAAAAGTGTCCCAATATCCTTCAGCACCAATCCTGCGGGTTTTTAGGAATGTGCTCAAAACCTGGTTCTTCCCACAGACCCTGGACTAGAATAGGATTACCAAGTAATCAATGTAAGCTGTGTTCTCTTGAACTAGAAACAACTGAAATAGGGAACCAAACTTAGTATAAATGGATCTTTACAACAAGGATGAGGGTACAAGAATATGTAGGTACCACTTAGGTTCTGCACACAGAAGTTGGGTACATGTAGTGTTTAGGACTGATTTTCCTTCTCAGCCTGGTCAGTTTTTGAATGCAATACGTGTTTTTATTGCTTTTTACTCTGTAAATTAAGAAAACCATTTGGCAGGTGAGCAGTTTTAGAAATCTGCTAGAAATCTCCCCGACCCCCCCCCCCCGAACCTCAACAGTTTTGGCAACAGCCCAGCTCACTGTATGTTTTTCATTCTATATATTGTCTTCTGAGGGAAATGAAAATTGGCCTCTAAGTACTTTAAATGTGGACACTGAGTACAAGAATCACGTTCTTCTTTGGTTTCTGTTTCTTACCTTCCACGTGCTGTATAAATAATGAATGCTGTGGTTTTTAGGTATTCTCCTTGAGAGATAGAGCATGGCATCCAGATAATAAATGAGGGCAATTGTTTAAAATCAAAATATTTTAAAGGCTTTATTTTTTATTTAGAAGAGCCACTTTTTTATTAGAAACATAAATTCTGGATGCACATTCCTAGATTATGTGTTAACCTGAGTCCAGCATAGCAAACAAAGAACAATTTTAAAAATTAATGTAGAAACAATATTCACCAAAGTTGCATGACATGGAGGTGTATTATAATCTAATCTGTCACAGAGTAACACAAAATGTCTCTGGGCGATCGTGGCATTCATGCTACCATTTTCTATATGGTACGGATAAGCAACATTTGATATGCTATGGGGAGGGAAGAAGAACTGAATAAGATAATTTTCAGTGTGCATAATGTTGCAGCTTATCTAGTTACTAAACGAACATATTTTCTGGATTCACACAATATACTGAATTATAAACTAATCAGGTTGAACAACCCGCTATGCCATCAGGTTTAATCTAGTTAAGTTTACTAATTTGTTTGAATACATTTATAAGGCCTTTACTTAAGTGTGTTGTGTTCACGCAACTACAAAGGGGCCCCAGTGTAGGCAGAATGTAAAGTCAAGTCCTGTCAGCTGTATACATCCAATAATTGCTACTGCTAATTTATTGCATAAAAATATCCCAACCACCTGCTTCTGAAGAAGGACTCTCAGTCTGCGTATGCACAGTCAGGATTTCCAGGTCAGTGCTGTTCTTTGAGGCACGTTTTGGGTTTAAATTTCATTGTATTAAATGCTCCCTCTACAGCTTTAGGTAGATACATTGGATATCTCTGCAGTTTCTTTCTGGAGGTGAATGTTCTTCCTTGGCCTTTTCCTTTGGATTGGCCTGTGATCCCTTCTACTTGGCTGGTATCTTGGGAATATCTCCGAGGGTCACGAAGGATCCAGTTGGAATGTAAGCTGTGTTCTCTTGAACTAGAAACAACTGAAATATGGAACCAAACTTAGTATAAATGGATCTTTACAACAAGGATGACGGTACAAGAATATGTAGGTGCCACTTAGGTTCTGCACACAGAAGTTCAGTATTTCTTGGCAAGAGATTTAAAAAAGCTGCTGCTAATAAAACAAGGCTACAAGGATCAATGGTCTGACTCAATAGAAAACTGCTTTCCATTTTTCTGAACTAGGGATAGGCTAACTAGCTCACAGAATCCAACTCCCTCAGTGTGCTCTATGTTCCCCAAAGAAATCCAAAATTGGCAAACTTAAATTTAGTAATAACATGACTAAATGATTGTTTGTAAAGATGTCAAAGTAAGAATAAAAATGAGTATGCCAATCCTCATTGAGGCAAAAAAAAATATTCATTTCCAACTTTAAATCATTTGCAGCTCCCAAATCCATAGCATTCTAAATACCACATAAATAACACATAAAGTGGATTTATCAGGGATGATATGATAGAAGCCACAAATAAATAAATCTGAAATCCTGTGTACTAAAAGAAACAAAGGACCATACATTGGCAAGCCTACACCTTTGGTAGACCATACTATAGCTTTTTTATGGGTTACTTCAACTGGAATAGTCTGTCTTTTATCAGCATTAAAGTGCTAGGATGGGACAGCACCCATTTAATTATTCTCCTCTGTGCATCTAACTGGATACAGAAAGTTGTCCTAGAATTCCTTATGCATTCAAAAACCAAGAATCTGGAACAGGGTTAGAGAGAAGAGGAAGAAGAAAAGATGCACTATTCCAAAAACATCTAACCAAATACTACAACATCAATAGGTAATAGACATGTCATACTAATTATTTATTAAGTCAATCAGTATATTATCCATCAACCTTCTAAGCAAAAATATGGAAAACCCATCCCTGAATGTTTTTGTTTGGAAGAACAGAGATGGAACTTTGTCCAGTTTCCAGCAGAAATGTAAGTATACTACTTTTGAGGAAAACTTTGATGTATCTATTATTTACTCTCATAACTATATGTTGTGTTTTATATAAATCTAGGATGATGCACCAGTTGAGGCCTTTTCTGGGCTGAGTAGCCCTGGAAGCATTCTCATCACTCCACATTTAAGCCAGAGTTCCCCAAGCTTTCTGGGTTGGTGGCCCAGGATGGGGAGTGAGTGGCAGGGGCCTTTACATGCATATAAGCATGTTAAAACAGGGGCACATGCATGTGTGCGATGCAAACAGGGTGGCGATGGTAGCTCCTGCCCAGCGCTCACAATGATGGTAACGCCCATGGTGACACTGGCACAAGTGGGGGAATGCATGGGCATACATGTGCATGTAGTGGCCAGCCAGTCATGCAACCCAGTAGGCAACAGGCCATGGCCCAGTAGTGGGCTGTGGCCCACAGATGGGGACTCCTGATTTAAGCTACTGTATTAAGACTTACATGAGGCTGCCCCTGAAGACAACTCCCAAACTATTGCTAGTACAAAATTCAGCAGGCAAGGTATCAGTGGATTAGAGCTATGATGGTCATTTAACGTTATGAAAATTCAAAACGGATGGATGCTATTCTGTGTTTATTCAAATGTTATTAATACTATTGAGACACATATGGACTTACTATCAAAATCTATGTCAACATGTGGATGATCCCTCACAACTTTGTGTTGTCTTTCTGCCTCCAGTTTTGCAATAATTGAGTCAAAATAAGCGATTGCTTCAGTCACATCTGAACTGAGTTGTGAGCCATTTCTGTCTGCTGAGATCTGGATGGTGTGACAATGGTTTAATTAGAACAAACAAGCATAATAATTGCAACCCTCCCTCCAACTTTCAAGGATACAAAATGTAGCTCTTTCAGAAAACCGCTCTTAACAAATAAGTTGCTAAGAATTTTTTTTCCTGACTTATCTTAGGCTCCATTTAAAGTAGCTATTATACTGTTTTTTGAAATATATGTGGATTATGTTTAATGTGGTATGTCTCTGGGATGTGCATATATAGGCAGATATGCAAAAAATATACCATATTCCAGGTATGTGTGCATACCAAATAATAATATTGAACTAATCTTGATACAATCATTATTGGCCTTATGATTCTTTTGGATCCAGGCCAATCTCAGCTTATAACTACTGTAGCAGGAAAAAAGCAAGCAAATGAGAAAAAACAGTTAGCTAAAAATATTCAGAAGAAACCAAATTTGGCTTTCCAGGAAGCCAAATTTCCAAGAAGCCAAATTTGATCAAAATAATGTTGAATCTTGGATTTCCTTTTACTGAAGTAGGCCTTCAGGTATTTTGGAATTCTACTCCATGAGTCACATTTAGCAAAACAAGAAATGAAAAAAAAAAACTACCCTTCAGAATATCTGCCAAAAATGGAGTGTGACACTAAAGGTGATTACAAAACATAAACTCATCACATTCCCAAACTCGTTGTTCATCTCCCACATCTTCCCATGCAAGTTTATTTCATTCTTATTCCAATACTCCAAAGAGAGTGGTTATAACATATTCTATGTAAACGTGGGAGTAACATATCCTACCTTAGAAGTCAATTTGGGAGGAGGAGGGGGTTGGGTTTTTGTTGTTGCTGAAGATTTTGCAGGCAAAGGGCAAATTCCAGGCACTCTGCCCAAGGCTTTCAAATCCTTGACACCCTCAAGGTATTTTTTCCTCAGAGCTAACAAATCTTGTAAATATTGCAAACAGTCTTGTGTCTTTGAGTACATCCATGTCTTTTCTTCTTTCAGCTGAAGGCAGGCAACTGAATTAAGGCTGGTGGTACTTTTGCTTTTTTTCAGAGGTTCAATGAATATATGATCCTCATCTCTGAGAGCATACATAGAGGTGCTACGGATCAAACGAACCGCAGAGCCATCATAAGCTGGGATCCCATCAGATAAACTACTCCTGCTGGAGTTGGGATGAAATAGGGAGTGTATTTTCCTGAACATAGCGTAGTTCCTTTTTTCAACTATTCCATCTAACATTCAATCTCACTCCAGTTTGTCTTCTAATGGACATTTCTTGCCAATACAGAAAAAGGTTCCATGTGTTGATTATGAATGGTATCAGCCTTTCTTCTGTTTCAGACTTCTTTTGGCCCATCTCTTCATTTCTTTTCCAAACTTTGTCAAAGATGAAGAAATGCAATGTCATCAGTCTTATCTTTATGAAGCCTGCACTTCGGTTCACCTAAAGGTTGCAGTAGCTCTTATTTGCTTCTTTGTGCTGACCATGGTGCTGAAATAGACTATATTTATAATGAAAAACATTTAGCGATTCTGAGTATGTCAGAAGGCTACATAAAAGAGGCTAACCCACTAGTATCCAGTACATTTCTAATCAATATTAGATAATATCCTGCAGAGGTTGGCAGCTAGAAGGGATTTTGTTTTCTCTGCTATGGCAACCGAAGCATGGTTACCGCTATCTGATACCACGCATGAGTGTTGAGAATAAAGCAGGCTAAGATCCATTACACTGAGCATGGAAGACTGGCCTTCAAATAAAACATATCTAATAATGTAAGATGACTGTAGGCACAGTTAATCTAGTGGTGTACTTGATAGATTATATATATATATATATATTGATTGGGAGACTGAATATTCAGATGTCCATCCTAAACCCAAAGTCCAAGAACTCTCTATTATTTTGGCTTCTGAGAGTTCCCTGAGATCTTTGGTTAAGCATACATTGAGCTGTATTGTTTGGGGAGGGCTAATGAAACATCAAATAGTCTTTCTCCCCTTCGACAGGTAATCCTCAACTTATGACTACAGCTGGCACCAGAATCTTGGTCATTGAGTGAAGACGCCCATGTAACTGCTTCGCTCAACAGCTACAATCCAGGCACTCCCAGCTGTGGTCATGAAGCAATCTCCCAAGCCACTAAGCAGAGAGGGAAAGACCTGCCTGCTTAGCTCCGTGCACAGAAAGGACCTGCTCCAGCATGCTGCAGGAATGGAGCTTGGATTCTTGTGGTGAGAGCTCTGTTTCTCCACCCCCACCTATGGAGTTCAGCTCCTCTCAGTAGGCGCCTCTTTCAGCCAGCCCCCAGACAAAAGAGTCCTCTTGGCAAGTAGCAGCAGCTTGCAGTTTTGCCTGCCAGTTTCCCCATTGTCTTTCTGATGAAGCTGTCAGAAAATATTGCAAATGGGTAAGGACGGGAGACCACCAGGACAGCAGTATCGATTAGGTAGTCAGAATAATAAAATGTCTCCCAGAGGAAGGCAGCAGCAAACCACTAGGTTCAATTATCAAGAAAACTATGTGGGAATATACTTGAAGGCCCTAGGATTCTGATTCAATTTTCAGAAAACTTCTTTTAATATTAAAAAAAACACCCTGAAAATATAATTACAATGCTTGTCCTCTGAATCTAACGCACAAAACCACATGGGTTGGTTGCATTATCTTATCAATCTCCCTGTCACCCAGTCTATACTATGGTCCACCTGCAAATACCCCAGTGAGTGCTTGAATGATACAGTTCTTATGTCCAACCTGGAAAAATGTGGTATTCATCCTTCCATAATCTTCTGCCTTTGAAACCCAACTGAACTGCAGCCTAGAGGATGGGGGCAAAGAAGAGAAGAGCAGTAGGAAAGAAGTAATGTCCTGCAGGATTGCTTACCAAGAATCTGTCCTACTGTTCCTCAAACATCACCGTTTTAAGATGTGCGGACTTTGGCTCCCAGAATTCCCCAGACAGCATACTGCCTGGGAAATCTTAGGTGCTAAATCCATATATCTTAAAGTTATCAAGTTTGACAAACACTGATCTATTTAGAAAGCACCATCACTACAATACAGTATCATAATCTGCTTTACTGCTGAAACTGTTGCAGGAAGATCAAAAGCAACATCATTTGAACTTGCCATCTCCATGTGTCACTTTGATTTTTGAGACATCCATACAAAAGCCAGAATAAAATGGGTGCATACTGTATTTGGGGAAATTCTGATTCTCTTTGCTCCGAGTTCTAACTGTTCTGAAAACACAGCTGCTGCCATCTTGTGGTGTTTTAAAGACGTTTTAGCAAACGGTAGTTTTACATGACACAGCCATTATTAATACACATGCATAGAAAGAGATATAAGATCTTGGATGTGTGGTTTACTGAGTTTTTTTTTATTCCAAATTATTAGTTTGAAATTTTACTTTTTTCCACTTTGAATGTTGGAAGTTCAGGAACTGACATTGCTTCAACACTGCAGTTTTATTGTAAAGATATCAGATTAGCAACTCATAGGTTCCGAGTACTGTCGTTCTTTGCTTTGTATAAATAAATCCCAGATAATGATAGCTCAAATGTAAGTGCATACTTGCATATTAGTAGATGGGCAACGTGTTTGAAAAAAGAAAAAAAACCAAGTGTCTATACACCTATTGGTCTAAGTCAGGAGTGTCGAACTCGATTTCATTGAGGGCCACATCGGGGGGGGGAGCATGGCCAGCTCAACGTCACTCATGTCGGGGGTGCCTGTGGTGGCCTGAGCACTCTGCCAGCAAAAACGGAGCTCCATTTTCTCTGGCAGAGGGACCGCAGGCCAGTCCGGTGTTTCCAGGGTGACCCCAAGGGCCAGATCTAAGCACCCCATGGCCCCATTTCACCCACGGGCCTTGAGTTTGACACCTAAGTGATATAGGAATTTCTCAGACATGATGAAAAGCAATAGAATTGTATTCTCCGTTCCTTCTGAGTTTTCTCTTCTTGTCAAAAGTGAATACCGCAAAGCTTAGGCCACACATACAAGAGGCTGTAGACAGGCATTCCATAGTTATCTAAGACTATGGTTGCATACAAAGTCCATGATGGACCAAGTGCCCCAGAAATTCATGAAAGCTGACTTCTCTCCAGGAATCACACACATCCACAATTAATCCAGCTCAATTTACCTGGGTGTACTTGGTGGTTCTCTGTGCTACAGTGAGCAGACACCAGAAGCCTGTGCTTTAATTAGAACAGGATTAATACAAGCTGACTGCCTCTCTGTGTGTAAATAGGGCACTAGGGGACAGAAAGTACTAAGCACTTTAAATGTCTCCTTGCATAATGTTAAAAGCTACCAAAAAATGGATGACCTTTGTGTAAGCAAAAGAATTAAGGGGCAATTGTGAAGTCATTTGGTACCACTGAACTTAATCTCTCTAGCTATGCAGAGCAACCATTGCTAATTATAACTTGGTACTATAGCTGTCCCAGAGCCAGGCTGCTCCTGAAGAATTTTCTGTTTGGTGGGCTCAGAATTAAACTGAAGGATGGCTAGTCTCTGGGTGTAATGTATTAACAAGGGATTAGGAAAAAAAACCTAATACAAGGCTTATTCAGTCCTTAATGCTCAATGGGTGACTTCAGATGGAATCATAATGTTTCTGACAAATCTATTTATCAAGAAAGTTGAGGCTCCTGGACGAACATGGCATATAAATCTAAGAAACTATAGGACGGTTGTAAAATGTACAGTCTCAGTTGCATGGATTCCTTTGGATATGCAACTTTTCAAGGATTAAAGGGAACATCTAGTATTTGATGGAAACTATACTCCAAAAATTAAGAAGGAGCTAGGACAGAAGCTCCATTCCATTCCATTCCATTCAAGTGAAACCAAAATTAAAATCATAACTTTTTAATAGAATATTGGTCTCACATTTGAGGGGAAAATGCTTGCATTTTAAATGGGAAGCGACTGTGTCACCAAAAGTGCTGGCATAACATTCACCTTCAGTGCATGCATTGGTTGTCTGCCACTGGTCACTTCCACTTTCTGATCTGGAGTCACCTGTCACATCCATCCTGTAGCCTAGTTTTTACATAGTACTTGAAGAGCAGATTATAGAGAAACAGATTACAGAAGTAACTTCCTGACTGTCAACCTGTAGTGTAGGCTGCCATGTGACATGGCAATTTCTCCTTCACTGAAGTACTTCAGACAAAAGCTAGATGATCATCTGCCAGAAATGCTCTATGGCTCCTGAGGAGCAGAAGATTGGAGCAGATTACTTCTATGATCCCTTTCAGATCAATGAGTCTATTAATATTGTTATCAACTACTGTAGTCCAGACCAGCTTATATTTCTATTGTTCTGGAAGGCTTGCGATGAGACCAGTGTTGAGTAACAATTTAAGATTATACCACGTCTATAAGATTATTAAGAGCTACAACAACCAAAAAGGAAATTGTAGAGTTTTTAAATATGAAAATTACAAGCGCAAAGATACAAACCAATACAAAACTATAAAAAGGAATACAAATTGGTGCACCAAATAAAAAATAGAAAAGAAAATATATACTAAAGAAAAGAAATGTATAAGGAAATGACTTCCCTCTTCATCACAAGTATAAACAATTTTAGTAATTTATCCCTTCTCTTAAAATGCAACAAAATGTATTACTTTTACTATTATTTTTACCTATCTTGATCATTAAGTCCCTTCAAATAATGTCCTGGAACTTTATTTCTTTTCATTTTTTTTTCTTTGTCTTAGCTAGTAAAATTCTTCAAAGTTTTAAGAACCTTCTTTTGAAATCCAATATAGGAAAATTATCTAGGTCACTCTCTTGGGTTATTTCTATATCATTTTTAATTGTTAAAACATCAGCTGGTTTCTTTTGTATGTTCAGGTAGCATCTTTTTTTTAGATATCATTCTTGTAACCTGTCATTTTTAAATCCACTTTCAGATCAGTCTCAAGATTGTCAGGTAAAATTTGTTCCTCTCCCATAACATCTTTTAACACAGCCTAATTATAGAAGCAAACACTCTTAACTTCTGAGTCCACAGTTCAAAAATCCTTCAATATGTCCATTTTTAAAATATTTTGCTTCATTCTATATTAGTAAGGGTTTAAAGGTTCTGCTTTATTTATACTTTTTGTTTTTTTTCTGGTCCCTATAGTGTCAGTCTCAATTTTCAAGGTCTCATCCTATCACATTTTTTTTCAGT